TTCCAAAACGGAGGGATAACTTATTTAATGTTCACAATACCTTGGCCACAGAAAGTATCAGTATTTTTAGCTGTCTTCAGTTCTAAGGACCCATTCCGCGATTGTCGAAAATCCTATACAAGATAACTCGGTCTGGGGTGGTACCACTTTAACGGCTTATCTGAATAACTAGGGAGCCGACGCTGCCATTCTCCAAAGTAACTCCACCCACTGACTAAGAGCTCCATCCACAGATGACCAACAACGTTTAATAGTGAAATGTGCCTTGAGGTCGATTTTATGACCATAAAAAACAAGCCACGCAGTTTGACCATTTGAAGCCACTGTCAGATGTTGTAAATCAGCCAAACACAATACGTCAAGGGTAGAGCAGGTTGGCACCAAAACTGAGGTTAATGGGACCTGAACCAGTGAATTTAGGCACTTCACGAGGCAGAAATTCATGAGGGTAAACGAAAAATGGGGCACATCAAAGGAATTCCAGGTGACAGCAAAAACAGAATACCATAGGACCAATCTTATTCAATAAACTTCCAAGAAACGTCACTTTTTTGCTTGTTGAAATTTCTTGTGTGCGTTAGGCTATCAACAGAAACTCGATTGGGAGCTCCTTAACCACTTATCCTTCGACCTATCTAATCCTAAGAACTCCACGGCACATCAGCGCTTTGTGGAAAATTACATCTAAACAGAACACTCTCTACAATTTCTCCACCGGTATGACTCCCTGTCGAAATCTATCTACCCTCTCATCAACTTTTTCCAAAATATTGCCGTCGAGCAGAGGTAAGCGGAGGGATCGGCAGGTCCTCTCTCCACCACTCCACGGCAGAATTAACTATCAGAAATAAAAAAAGTTATCGCTTAGTGCTCCTAAAACGGTAAAATCAGCAATCAAAGTAAATTCATCCGGACCGATGCGAGTCCATCCCGCGCCCAAATAGACCCCAGTGCGTTTTCAAATCCGAATACAATTATCTCTGTACAATTGATCTCATTGAACATTGATTAATTACCCATTCCTCCCGTCGTGGAATTTGCACACATCAATAAATCAGAAACTAGCAGCGTACGATCAGCGTGCCCTCAAAGTGCACGACGGCAAACATGAGTGTTGCTGTTCGCGAGAATGCCAACAAAACGGCTCAGACGTCTAAGTAGCTCAATAGGAAATGACAGCCAACTGCAGCAAATCAGTTTCCAGTGCGTATCAACAGCGAATCGACATATCGATAACAATAATCGAATGTATGGAAGCAAAAAAATTGCAATGAAGCAAAAAAGGACTCGAATTCACCTTAGCAGTTTGGGTTAAAAATATCGACTTGATTAGAAATTTGCCTCGGAGATAAGCTGGCCCCTGAATATAAGTATAGTGACCATTTACTGCAAAAGAGCCTGACATCAGCGCCGCGAGGGCCCGACCCAAGACACCACATCACGGAAAATTTGTTAAAAACTATCCCCTTGGATAGTTTAGCCCCGTGAACATGAACATCTTAATTAGGCGTAGTTCGGTTTGGTGGGGGTACTGAGTAGTACCCAGCGAGGATTGCACAGGCCATGTTGTGAAGACCTGGAGATTCCTGTGAAAATTGGTTCATTGGCACCATATCGCAGCTTCACAGGAATTTACAGAGCTCGCCAAATTGAGCCCCGTAAGTTGTCCCGAATAAACAAAAGGAACTGGTGAAAGTGCGAAATGCCCCTTGAAACCGAACAGCGCCTCATAATCATTTTACATGAATAAAATCTTTGAAACTGAGATTAATGGACTATGTTGTAAAAATCTAATAAATGAGAATTAATGAGGGGTGTGTAGGTTTATGTAGCTTTATTGACGAGACGGGGTGGTCTCGTTGGATTGCGGTAGAATACAATATAATGGAGACGGGGTGGTCTCCGGGTAGTCCGAGACGGGGTGGTCTCGGTGGTGGTCGTGGTAGAATGCTAACTTAATCTAGGCGTGCCTCTCAATACAGGAGAGGTCACGCATCGAGTATCTAACTATTTGCCTATGGGTCATAATCACATGTCTCAATGTTCCTTATGGGTTATACGTATCAATCACTCAGTCTTAAAAGGATGCACCGGTAGGTTCTGGTGGCAATCCAGAACACTCCGCGGGGCAAAAAGGGGGACAATTTGCATCAACTAGGTTAGTAAGTTTGAGGCATATCGCAATAATTATATCGCAATAGAAAGAACAACGGAAAGAGGTATGGGTGGCATCGTAGGCTCTAATAAAGATGATAAGTGTGAGAATCGTGATGTCTTCTTAGATTGTTTCCTTGTGGCTTGTGGGTGCTGGAGGCGAGTGGCGGAGGTAATTGAGGTAGTCGTCCTTGTTGTGTCGGTGGGCGATGAGGTGAAAACGTAATAATTGCTTTATAGTAGAGTAATGATAAATTTGATTAGACTACCGAGGTTCCTGTATTCGTTCAGGATTTTGCTTCAATGTTGTAGATGTAGTAGTTCTCATGGCTTCGTCAGCATTGGAAGAAAAGAGAGGTGAAATCGTAGAGATTAACATGGTAAATTCGTAAAGAGGACTGTTAATGGGAATTGAGAAAACCATTTATTATGATGATTGAAATAAGGTCTTGATCATATTGAAATGTATATTATTTCGCTGAGTTACCCCCACTTTCAAGTTTACCTTTGTGTTATGAGTAGCATCAACTTCTTGTGCCATGGCAAAATTGACCTTCCCTTGCCAAGCGGCTGTTTCAAAGGATGTTCCTTCATTGTTGGTGGGTTTTCGGCAATTCCCAGGATGCTTAGTGACAATGTTTTCCATAAGCATTGAGGGTCGAGACCGAACTGTGCGCGGCTGTTCTGCTTTTTGCAGAGGAGGTGCATGTGTGGGATCATATCTGACCCGATACCTCTCCCGAGGACGTGATCTTCCTAACGGTCTTATAACTGTGGCCGTAGGGATGCCGCTAAGGTAGCCTAAATGACCATAATTATACCTAAGGTGGTCTTGGTTCCCTACAGAAAGCACGTTAGTTGGGCAAGACGCTGTAGTGCCCTCACTAATAACGGTCATTTGTTTAGTGGCACTTCTAGAAAACAAGTTAATGTTCTTTTCTTGCTTATTCTTTCACTGATTCACTGTCAATGCTTTCTGCTGCAAACATTTTTTGATTATGTTCTTCATAATGATTAGGTACTTCTAACGATGTCATGGAGTATGACACGTTTACAATATCGGTCGAGTTTATGGTTCCACGACCGTATAGAGTCGGACCGAAAATAGTTTTCGCGACATGTAAGCCTGATGGGGTTTGGGTGTGGATAGTGCTTGAAAGAACTAGATCGTAGTAGTGGTCAAGGCCAACCAGGATTTGTGGGACTTGACGCTCACCACGAATTTTAGAATTTGCGATAAAAATTTCTCGACCTTGCAGAAATTCTGCGTCTAATTCTGTAATTCTTACTGATGGGAATGCGCCGGTTATTATAGGTTTTGTCTTAATTGGCATTTCGATTTCACGACCATGTGCGCTGCTTATTTTGAGGAGAACTTGGTGGCTTTTAAATTTTTCCGTGTGTCCCCCTATTCCTGACATGACGCAGGTTTCTGTTGTAAGCTTTGGTAGGCCTAAATGTTCGGCGAGTGCTTCCTCGATCACGGTCTTTTGCGCGCCTGTATCGAAGAAGAATAATACTTTCTCATAAGCGTTCGTCCTCTGATTCCAGACGTTTCCTTCAGCTGTCATTAGTACGAGCTGTTCATATTGTTTACTATTAACGATGGCAGCATTACCATTTTCGATGTTCTGATTAGAACTGAGAGGTTGCTCTATACTTTGATAGTTGAATCTGGCATCGTTTCCAGTGTTAACATTGTTCCTGTTCCCTATAGAAGTAGGACCTGGAAAAACCTGGTTGGTTGGGTGGTTTGGAATATTCTCATTCCTTGACCAACGATTTGATGGGGATGGTAGGTGCTCTCTGGGTGGGGCGTATGTCGAACTTTCAGGGCTTGCACACACCGATGAATGGTGTGTGCCCCCGCAATTAGTGCAGTTTGGTTTGCTGCATTTACTGCTGGAATGATTACTTTTGAAACATTCCAGCAGCTTTTCTCTGCTTTTAAAATGTCACGACGCCCTTGGCGGGTTAGTTAACCGTTCCACAAGTGGAGGAAGTGTGACTGGATCTGTCACAGAATACGCACCCTGCATAGTGAGTGGTACGTTCCATATCAATACTGTTATCCCGGGGTGGGTAGCTGGGACCAAGCCGTGACTGGACATAGGCCTTTGCACTTATTTCCTTGTCCAGAGCCTCTAGAAGGTCTTCGATTGCCATGGTATCAGTTTCCTGATGCTTTACGAGAATGTCTTTCACAATATCGTGCGGAAACTTCTTCAGAATGGCTTCAGACCACATAGGGTCACAAGTCTTTCGTATATCGTACCCAGCCGAGACCATTTGATAAATGAGGGTTTTGACCGCATCGAAGCACTCTTGGCAGCTGTTTGCCTCTTCAGATGCAGTCTCGAGGTCGCACAGTTTCTGTACGATTTTTGACTTATTCACTGGCTTATTGCCATATCTTTTGATAAGGGTTTCCACCATCCAGGTATAATTCCTTGGCACGGATTGTATACCCCTTATTACATTTAATGCTGATCCCTGTAAACTGTCTTTCAGCAAAATAATCTTTTCTATCTCACTTATTTCATTGCTGTTATGAACCAAGGTTTCGAAAATTGCCCAAAATTCGGGAAATTCCTCCTGGTTTCCATAGAATTTTGGTAGTGTTATGGTTGGTGCCTTCACAGTCCGGCAACCTATTGCAGGAGCGCTGCTACCCTCACCTTGGTCATATTGGGTAGACTGGTAGGTGTTTCTGCCCTGAGACGAGACTCGGAGTTTTCGCTGCACTTTTTGCAGCTCTACTTTTGTGTCCGAAAGATGGGTTTCTATGTTACAAATGAAGCTCTCAGCTTCCTCAAGCAATTTTAGGTAGCGAGTTTCTTTTTCAAGCTCTTCCACCTCCGCAATAAACTCCTTTTGCTCAGTCTTCGACTTGATCGATGAGCAAAAGTCCCCCAAAAGATCAGCTTTGCTCTGGAGTAGTTCTCTTGCGGGCTTTATAAGTGCTAGACAGGTGCTAAATTGCTCTACATTTGCTGTACACTCTTCGAATAGTTGATTATCGTCATCTGAGTAGGTAACTTTTTGTGTATACCCCCCATATTTCTTTAATTTTTCTGCTACAGACTTAGCGCTGCTTATTACGGCGTTTTTCAAAAAGTAAGAGGACATTATGAAGTATAGTAGATTATTTCTTGACTATAGGGAAACAAATCTGATGAAAATGAGAAATAAGTGCTATTGGTATAAAAGGGTACCTGGTCCGGAGTCGTTCCTCGGTTCGATGCACCAGAAATGTGTAGGTTTATGTAGCTTTATTGACGAGACGGGGTGGTCTCGTTGGATTGCGGTAGAATACAATATAATGGAGACGGGGTGGTCTCCGGGTAGTCCGAGACGGGGTGGTCTCGGTGGTGGTCGTGGTAGAATGCTAACTTAATCTAGGCGTGCCTCTCAATACAGGAGAGGTCACGCATCGAGTATCTAACTATTTGCCTATGGGTCATAATCACATGTCTCAATGTTCCCTATGGGTTATACATATCAATCACTCAGTCTTAAAAGGATGCACCGGTAGGTTCTGGTGGCAATCCAAGCAAGCAGGGGGGCGAAAGCAAGAGATAGCTCAGCTTCCGTTTCGAAACATTATCACTGTGCACTATTTGGGACAAATGAACTGAGTTCCTCGAAAAAATGGTGACAGCGTCGATGCAAAGCGTTTTAGCGCTAAACGACTGTGGGACGAGCACACAGGGATGAGGGAGAGTATTCAGTGGTCAAATTTTCCACGAATATGACAAGTTTCGACATCGGTACTTCCCGATCGAACGCCGGGCGCTTTTGCGCTAAGTGGTTACGGTATCCGTATCCAGGCAATGAAACTACCGCTGAGCGGGGCATCCTTATCCGGAATGTGGCGGAAACTTCAAAATATGTACCACTGAAGATCCAGGCAAGGAGGGGGGGGGCGAACACCGATAAACTGTGACTGACTCTCTAGCCCTGGAGGTAATTATCCCTTATCTCTTCTTCAAGGTGTGCCCAGGTATTACGTCTATTCTTTTTGAGAGATTCCAAACAACACTCCTATTTTGCCTATGAAGGCAATTTTCGAGCCATGCACCCCCTCCCCCCGAAACCCAACTTCGACTAATATCGAGCTCAAATTCCATACAACAGGGACAGGGTAATTAGCGCCGAAATAGTAAATGGCCTTGTTCCCTTGATCCCGAGGACACATTCTGTGACAAATTTACACGCTCGTAACCTTGGAGAGGGCAAGTAAGGGACTCTAGAACTAGAATTACAGTAATGGAGATGAAGACCCATGGCCTAGGTTTCTAGGTCTGAGAGGGGAGAGTTCTAGGAAGCCCATTAAAAACACATTTTTTTACTCCCCAGTCCAACTTTTGCACAGAGAGGCCTTTAAATGGCCCCAAGGTTATCAGCTCTCAAATATATGCACAAAGCCTGGCCTAAATTTCAAGAAGTAAGGCCAAGAAATAGGGCCAAATTAGTAAGTTGCCCTTACCCAGATCTTGTAGAGCAGTAGACATCGCGATATCTTCAGCTCGTCACATTGCCATGAACATTAGGCTTCTAAAAATTTGTTAAGAATGGATTAATCAACAAATAAAACACGCGGATGAAAGAATTTTCGAGAAAGCGCAGCCGGAAATGACCGATTCATCAAAATCAATCAAAACACATGATTATCATGTCTGAAGGCTGGTCAATAGAGAGACGACAAGCAAGAACGGCACTGTTGCGATTTGTGGCGCCTCTCGACCGATGGACGGACAGACGGACGACACCCGACAACATGACACAGTGGGCGGGTCGGGCAAATATGGTGGTCTAATCACGTAACATCCCCAAGAATTGTCCTGTTTACAACGGAGGGGGAGGCATATTGACCCTCCGAGTCCTGAAATTACTCCTAACCCGGGTCAGCTACCTGTCAGGTATTTCTGAGAGGCTCCAAAGAAACCCCCGGCGAATGCACTTTTGAGCTCCGCCCAGTTGTACAAACCTCATCGTATTACTACGGGTGGGTGGGGGCGGGCTCATCTAATCACTCGGAAAAAAGGCAATCACGTCGAGAAAACGCCGTACAAACCGCAACAATCCCGTTCTGCGCACGATTTCCCTTGTGTTTAGCTTGTTCTTGTTTATTACGCATTGTACAACGAAAATCATCAAAAACACAATTTCAAATAAAAATATCGATTTACAACATCTTTGGACGATAAAATCGAGCGAGAATGTGAGGTGACGTGACGAGGAGACGACGCATGTTATCAATGAGTCATGTAGAGCGGTGAAATGCTATTCATGATGTAACGATAACCTTTGGAAAACGAACTGTCACGAGGAACAACCGATTGAATAGTTAACGGCAGACGATATTTACGATGGGTCCTGCCACGAACAAAAAAAATAATAAGTACGGTAATAGTTACAACACTAAATAAAACAACATAAACAGAAAATTAATCACTTTCGACTGCGAACATGAGAATCACTTCCGACGGAAAACAAACGAAAAAAACCATATGAAGTTATTTCGACAACAGTAAAATCGATTATCCACAGCGACTAGTTCGACAAAAATCGATAATCGAATTTCAAGATGCCAAGTAGTTAGAGGTCCCAAAATTCTTGTGTCCAAGAGTATTTCCTGAGAGAACATCCTAAGAAGGCTAAGGGCAACTGTACAACTGTAGCTGAAGTTTGGTCACGCGGCGACTCGACCAAGTCCTTTCGACTGCGTCCCTAGGCAAAGCCGTTGAACTCTGGTCGTCTTCGCTCATCTGAGGCTGAGCCTTGGGGAGTAAAACGCTCATTTGTCGCGCTGCTACGCGGCTACACTCAGCTACAGTACCGCCAAAAGCCTCTCAAGAGCTCTCCGGAAACACACACTGCATATCCTGGAACTGGACAGAGCGCGACTGCGTTTTTCATGAGATACTTCCATTTGAGGCAACTGCTTTGTCTAGACAAAGACATGATCACGATTGTCCCTAAATGGCTATATCCCACCACAGGCTCGACCACCACCTCGCCGTACACAGTCATGCCCTCCCTATCTCCGAGATATGGACTGTATGAAGCCACGAAGGGTGTGTGTGAACCCTCCTTGTATCCCGTGGAGCTGAATTTCCAAGGCGCCAATCATGTTCACAAGACAACTAGCTAAGATATGTTCAGGGAAAGACGTCACCGCCAGAGCACGTCGAAACAATCACTATTCGATCTGCCATCGGCCCTTTTAGTGCCCACTCATAAATCAGGGCCATAAACGATCAGAACAACAGTTGCACAATGGTAGATGAAACAATCAAACAAACCATATATTAGACTTACTAGAGTATCGATTTTTACAACACACCAACCCTTGTAGAAATCGTAACCAATCAATGCCATCTTTGGCCCGAGTTGCTATTGGATCTGCTCGAATGTCCACGGTAATTACCTCTACCGCCACCACGCCATTTGTCGTAGCCATTCCTGTACAAAAGAACGTTTAACTATTTGTGAACATGCTGTTATTCGTTATCACTGATTTGAACAGAGGAAATATCCCTATGAGCCTAAAGTAATGCTATATATCGTACAGTCGTGTTCGCTGCAAATGAGGGGGCGTGGCCAGCGGGAGGGCTTGGTCCGGCGCCAAGCCCGTTTCACCACTTGTTGAAGCGAACAAGCGACAAGATTGTATCAAATCGTTCGTGCCATTATCATTCAAACCAGATGTTGTCGCTTGCCCGCTTCAAAAACTTGCAGAAAACGAGTTTGGCGCCACGCCAAACCTACTCCGCCAGCAACGCCTCATCATCCTCAGCGAACAGACTGTAAATTCAATGAAATATGAAATATGCGCATAACTATAACAGAATTTTTTTGGATCGACGGTATTGCTCAGTACATATCTCAGATATGAAAGAGGCGTGTCTGCAGACCATAAAAACGGGTGGCGCCCTACGCTTCAGATGGAAAAATGTTGTTTTGGGACAAGAGGAACGGCACTATTCTCCTATTACTACCGCAAAATCTTGGAAACATTTTTTGCTGAATCTTTGCTCATCGAGCTACTCAGCCCCCGACCACGACCATGACATCCATTTTAGGCGCTGCCGCCATCTAGAGCCATCAAACGCCGATTTGGCCTACTGCTTTCTGCATAAAAACCGACATAAACTTGTATACTGAACTCATCTGATGTCCAGATTACGAACATGACATCAATCTTGGCGCCTGCGCCATTTGGCGCAGACTGGTGCCGTCGCCATCTTGGCTACATTAGCATTTAATGACGAAAATTCAGATGAGTTTGCACATCAAGGTTTCTTGGCGTCCTAATTACGAATACGACAATCATTTTCAACGCAAGTGCTACGTAGGGCACTCTGGTCGTCTGCGTTCTGCTAAGGCTCAGCTCGGGGGAAGGCCACTACTCCTTCCGTGCTTAACCGTAGCAGAGCGCTACTCTTGGCGCTAACGTCGAAAAATGAAAAGAAATGAGTACAACATTTGTGATCGGACTCCAGTTAACTCAAAAAGCAAAACGGCAACGAGTAGAAGAAGTCGGCGCGGCGGCAAAAACGTAGGCTATATTCCTGACCTGAGCACTGGATGACTCTGTATAACCCCTATAGTTGAAGCCAGAATGTCGAGAAGCAAACGCTAGAAAATGTATAGTGGGAGAATCTCTACGTAAAAACACCTCGCGATATTCAAGTGGGCGGGAAAATGGAAGGAGACTCATAACGTCCCTTCTTTATTGGCGCACTCCTCCTGTTTACCGTATTAGAGTGAGAGACGCTCAAATGAAGAGGGTTATGAGTCATCATCCATACGAAAGGTACCTTCAATGGGACAGGTAATAGTTTTCTAAAACCATGATTGAATATAACTAGATAGCAAAGACAGATGAAAAGGCACAGGGAAAACGCTCATACTACTTTGAAAGACGGCAGCTGGTTACTGTTTGCCAAACAATGTACACAAACAAAACAGCCACAAACTTGAAAATGAGACTGGTTTAGACGACTACCACTGATCTGGCAAGAGGGAGGGGACGATCATGGGGAAGGCACAGGCGCCAGACTGTTGATAGTCAGCATTGATTCATTTTCAAATAAACGATTACTCACTCTCTGGAGCATCCTATTTTTACTAATGGATATCATCGGTATAATTTTGTGTTAGAGCAATTTCACCAGTTGATTGTTAGGACATTCTAATGGTCCACTATTATCCCAAAGTCGTCGTAGAAGTGAAAAAAAATGTAAATAAAATCTGGTTTACTTTTGGCACTATTAAGCCATAACAACCCCAAAAACTAAATATATATTTTTTTTTCTCAAACTCCGCATGTGAGGGTTTTTCTGTGTCTCGATGACGGATATGACAGCCGTTTCGGCGCCAGTGTCATTTGGCGCCAATGAGCGCCAGTTTGGTGTCCCCGCTTTACACACCAAAACTTCTATAAACATGCATACTGGGGTTATTTGGCATCCTACTTTTAAGCTAGCATTCATTCTTGGCACTAGCGCTATCTGGCACCACCTAGACACTCCGGCTGTCAGCGCCTTGTTGTCACTAAAATTTTCCTCACACCTCGTTTGACCCAGGCCATCACCATATGGACGGCTAAGGGTCATATTCAGTTCAGTCCGTACAGAAATACACCAACCGTAAGCAGTTAGGCTCAAATAGTACCAAGCTTATCTAGAAGGACAAGAATACCGACTAGACAATGGGCTGGCCTGGGCAGCTCATAAAATCCGCCGAATATCCATGCGATTATTCTTACTTTTTTGACAAGCAGTGGAAACTTGCGGTGCGTTCTAGGGGATTGGCCAACAGCTTAGGCTTTTACTGCTATGAAAAACCACTAATAAGTTTCAGCGTTAAAATGCAGCATCCTATGTGCCTATACAATCCCACAATTCCCTTGTCACGTCTGAAAGAGAAAACCTTTCAGTTTGATGGTGCTCTGTGACTAGAAATCGTCGCTAGTAGGGCCGAATACGAAAGTGTCCTCAACACGGAAGGGAAAACAGAAAAACGTTGAAAACTCTCTGAATAGAGCCTCTGTTAATTTTGGGCATTATGAAAGAGAGGAAAAAGTAGTGAACATGCAAAAGGAAAAGCCAACAAAATGGAAAGAAGTACCAAATCCAGTAAATTTCCACTGTATAATGATGGGAAAACGAATGATAGAGGTGGAGAGTTATCATGAGGCGTAGACTGCTTTCTGTAGCAGAGCTGTGGCGCTCTTATTGAGCATTTCCGACTCGCAAGAGTAGGACATCTTCTATGATTGCGTGCCGCATCACTCATTACAAGAAACGAATTATGCACGTCCGATGATCACGGACTGCTTCCTCAAGTAATTCCTATTCCTTGAACGCTCGAGCAACAAATTCTCTCCCCACCGGGCCACTTATCTCTCCAGTCCAGTACAAACAAAGCACTGTCTTACCACGATACCTTTACACCTTCACAGTCTAGTGAGTTCCTGACAACCCCAGTGTCGTAAGCGTTATCATTACGCTGATCTCCAACGTCAAGTCTCAACAAATGTTTTATCTACTTGTTCATACCGTAATCTCCAGGATACTCCTACGACAGACGAAAAGGTTCATCCCTTTTTCACAAATTTTAAATAAGGTGATCGGTTTTAGATTTAGAACTACTTCTCGATACTACTTTGATGAGCCACTTGCTTAGATGCGCCACGTATTCCACATCTGTTTGTATCCACTATCAGGGCATATCCAGTCGATAGAGGGGGAGAACGAGGGAGATGGGGAGGATTATAGGTAGAGACCTGCGACTTGCTACCAGAAACAGGAATTTCACAGCGATGCTGACAATGAAGGGATAAGTCGCATGAAAAGAGCAAAGAAAATAATAACTGTAAGCAAAAACTGCTCTCGATGCGTGTACAACCCTCTCCTCTTCAGCGACCGAATAGGAACCCAAAGGTGGGTTTCTCAACGTGCGACGTGCCCTAGTTGGAGCCCCGACACTACGTCTGCCCTTTGAAAATAAGCACTGCATTCATAAACGGCCAAGAGGAGAGGTTTTCTTGCGAATAACCAGTGCTGACTAGAAGAAACGCGATGGGCGAGCTAGGGACGCTTTAGATGGTTCACTTAGAAACTCTTAAAATCAACAGTTCTTTTCTGAATATCACACGAGTCGGCATCAGATTAATCTCGGCATCAGAGAGACATAGTTCCTTACTGTAGTTAGAAATGGTGATTGAGTGACTTGTTTCGATGATAATTTTCTACTTGCAGGCTCCGAAGAAGGCGATGTTCGCCGAAACGTTAGTCCAATAAACTATCTGTACAAATCTCGGGAGGCTAAAGGAATCATTCTGATTATTACATTTTCTTTTCTGTTCAAAGCGAATCTGTGCCTCGTATCTCAGAAAATGGGGCACAACAAAAAATTCATTGCAACTTAACGCTCAATTTATACAGCATTCGCGCGCAGAGAAAAAGTTTGAGGAAGTGGCAGAGTCCGGCGGATTGCCATATGCGTCACAGCGGAATCAAAAAGAAAAAGAGGTATGAGACAAATTAGAGAATGGAGAGAGAACACAAATTCGACAATGCAACGCAAAAGTCATTGGAGTATGGTGCTGTCCCGGAGTCTAAGGAGTATATATTATAATAAACTTTTGAGACTTTCACTGTCTTTTGAGTTTTTTGGAATAAAAACTTTTGGAGTTTCACATTGTTATTACACACTCAGCAAAAGTCATTGCTAAACTTTGACGATGGGATTAGTGCACTAATGCCTCTGCAGGGTGCTGCTCGTCCAAAGAGTGGGCTGTCACGTCACATCTCTGGCGCGCATTCCCCTTCATAGGCTTACGGATGCAACGGTAAGAGATTCTTTCGCGCAATAGCTGTTAGACTCAATCACCCCCCCCCCCACCTCCACCACCACAGTAATCTGAACAGTAAGTTTTATGAAGAATTCCACAGCTCATACTAAAAAATGAGTATTAAGATCCGTAACCAATCAGGACCCGCTAAGAGGAAAGGGCACGTACACCCCCTCACAAGTTAAATGACAGCGGCATCCATTCCAGTTTGCCGGTGCCACAACGTGCCCGCCTTCCCTTCAAATTCAACCTACCATCGCAACGGGGACAGCACACGAAGACCATTTGAAACACAATGTGATTTAGACAGATTTCGCGCAAGGAGTGCCCCACAATCCTGAAAGCAAGGTTCCCATAAAGAATACCTCTAGGGCAGACCTAAGCGTCACTCAGGGAAGAAGCTCCCGTCAGTATCCAGAGCGCCCCTGAGCAACTGTAGTTCATCCCAAGTGGTTTCAGTTACACTCTCAGCATAACTCGTGCTTTCGTACAAATCGGCTACAAGGGGCAGATAGCAGAATCCTCAACAAAACTACTTAGCACAATAGATGACCGGGGGACAAAATCTTCGAAATAACGCCCCAATCGTGGGTGTGGACTAGTTACACTCTTGACATTGAAAGCAGTCATATGTCTATTGTAGCATTTGAAAAAAACAGCTTCTCTCACACAGTGTCTCGTCCAACTATTCTATAGTTCTTGTTTCGCCTGCAGATACTAGAACGTGTCAGGAGGGGGGGGGCGGGCTACTTTTGCGCGCGCACCAGCCCGCTCTCCAACAACTGTTGTTGCTTGCCCTTTAGCACGGGTCGGTGGAAAACAGAGTGCCTGCAGAAAAGCTAACGTCTTGTTCGCTGCGAACGTTGGGAGGTGCCAAACTCAGCCCCCTGACACGCCCCCACCGTTCCCAGCAAAAAGACATATTATCAAAACAGCGCTGCTAAAAGAAATGATCCTTGCCGCAGCACAGTTTCCCAGCAGTCGCTGTAAGTGTGCCATTTTATGCGGCATGGTGGGAAACATTTCTTTAAATTGAAAAAAAAAATGAAATTGATTGAAAAAAATGGTCAACTTACGAGTCGCTTTCGAAAACCCTGGTGTCAGACGGTTTCGACGGGAAAGTACGTCTTTTATCTCCACCAGGTCTGTAATTACAGTTACTTCAGCTCAACGGTCCAGCTTTGATTCCTCTAACACTACAGATTCAAGCGCTGTTTTGCTTAGGGGGGAGGGGTGTTTTGCGCCGCTAGTTTCTATCGTTCCTGCAAACAATTTCACGTTTTGCGCGCTAGTTTCTATTGCTCCTGCAAAATTTCACGTCACCCTGATGAGACCTGTAGAATATTGCCAAGTATAAACGAAGCTCACGTCATTGCTCAGGCTTTATAGGAGTTGACAGGTCTGCATGGGTGTTTCGATTGATGGAAGACAGCGAAATTCCCGCCCACTATACCGAACTTGCGCTAAGATTCACTTCTCAATACACTACATGACCCATTAAAGAACCTAGTTACAATTATAATGTAGACGGAGTGGAATCAAGGGATCCTAGCAGCGCTCCTATGCCTGTACTGAACAAAAAACAAATTTAATAAGCAAATAAACAACCTTCCGGTAAAACCCGATTTCGGAGTATTGTACCCTTCGGCATTCGTCGGTGTTCGAGTTTTGAAGCTAAAATAGGGGTAATCATAGGTGATCACATTGGTTTCACAGGAAAATCAACGCTACACGGGAGGTGCCAACTACCTAACCTTGGATAGGAATCGGAATGTGGCAGAGGAGGTGGTGGTGGCGGTGGTGGTATCGGTGGAGTAAACATCGAATTATTCGAGTCTTGTCTTTCTGAAAGCAACAAAAAAAAACAGACATTCTTTCTACCCAAGTAGCACTTTACAGGGGAACTGGAAACCTACGGGAGCTTGAAGCTACGCGTTCAGCGCGCTCGTCATAGTCTTAGCTCTCGCCTGAAAACAATAATTTGCTAGGAATCCGGCGCAATTCAGCTCAGGAGGGATTTTGCACTCGCTACTTCTCTTCGACCTGTTCGTTGCTTTACACCACGAATGCAAAAATGACCCTCTCCTCCCAAGCCGAACTGCGCCAGGGAATCACGACGTTATCCATAACAGAATTTTTTATTCAAGACCAATGCGGTAAAGAGATGTTCCATAGGAATTTGTACTCACCCCATATGATCCCTTTTACGTGAGTCGTAAGGCGATGAATGTGAGCTTCCATATGAGTCCCGTCGCATTGAATCCGACGACTTCCTGCTGTCCTGGATTAGGTCATTTCCAATTTTGAACTCATTTTCTGTGTTAAAAATCACGACAATAAAGAGGCAACATAGTCTTGTTCGCTGTGAATCAAGGGGTGTGTCAAGGAGGCCGGGTTTGGCGCGCCGCTAGCCGGTTCACTACCAGTTATTGACGCGAGTGAGCGACAAGAGCTGGTAAGATAAGATAGCTACGAACACTATGATAGAGTCTTGTCACTTGCCGAGATGAAAAAACGGGCTGGCGTCGCGCCAAAATCCTTCCCGCTTGACGCAACAACAAGATTCAAACGCGCTTCAGAAGGCGCTCGCTTGTAGTGCACAACAACACACATTATATTCACATCGTGCTCTTCTCAACCGCGAGAAAAACCACTTTCAATTACCCTTTCTGATGTGGTATAAGGCGCAATCATTCCAGGCCTGGAAATGTTCCTAGATCGAAATGTTCCTAGACCAAACAACAGCTGTTTTTTCCAGTAATTTTTGCATGTGCACATTTGGGAGTGCGAAATCCGAAGCAACCGATTCCGAGTGTCACTTTTTATTAGGCGCTGAAGTAATTATTAGGCGGTCTTTCCTTGTGAAAATAGTCTGGCCTCCACTCTTCAGGATCATCCCGCTTCTGCGGCTTCACATCAAGTAATAGAGGTACTAAGGTCGTCAAAAGTGGCAACTCTGACGCGTTCTGTCCCAGGTTTAGGTTTCCCCAAAAGTTTTTCGTTTTTTTTTTCTCACTTTCAGATAGTATTCAGCATCTGATATGACGCAAAGAAACGACTAGGGAGAGAGAGGTGACAGGATATCTCGTTTGCTGGGATAAAACGAAGAGGTCCGGAAAACTCGTCGAGAGCTGACAGGTCTCATGGTGTTCTCCATGATTTTTTTGCCCTCTTTCTTCCTCTGCGAGTCCTTAAGCGACTATGGCTTTGTTAGTAACGCCATTATCCACAGTACACAATCGCGGGATTTGCTTTAAATGGATGCTGCGAACATCGCACGCTCAAAGAAGCGCGACAACTGTGGGTGACCTCTTGTCGCACACCATGAAAGATTTCATAATCTATAGATACGATGTAATATCAAAACAAGACCTACATGTCTCGAACCATTGCGAGGCTTCACTGTTAACGGTACTTGGAATAATCGAATACCATCCAATGTTTCACAAGCAAATGGTACACTCTCCTCATCTTCAAATGTTACCATTGCATAACGATGAGAATTCCTTTCCGTTAGATTTAGTTTTTCAACAGGACCAACCTGTAAACAGATATAACATCAGGCTCACAACGAACAATGACATATGCGGGGGTTAGGTCGGCTTTGTAGGGGCACCAGGTGGTATATGGTGAAGGCAGTTCAGGTCACCCTGTCAAGACCTGTGAATTCCTGTGATGAAAGTGGCTCAACTGCACAATTTCACAGGTTCACAAGAGTTAACAGGTCCATCATAATGAGAGTTGTTAGTTAACACGAACAAACAAAAGAAACAACAACAAAATAGGATGCTAACATAGTTGGCAGCGCGGAGGAGGATTCGACAACGCTTTTGTATCCATACTTCTGAGCAAGAGTTAGAGGAGACCATTTCTTTCCAGCAGAAGGACTGCTTGGCCGTCTAGCCCCCAATCCTTAGCCATTATTAGGGAGAGGACACCGAGGGGCGGCATGAGCCTCACTCCTCCCTTAACTACATTTGTTTCCCGAATAGGACTAAGAAAAATCTGACTACATCATCGAGAAATCCATGGATTACGGTAACCACACTTTTTCAGAACATTTATAAGCCATGCGATGTTTCAGGCCTGGCTTTCCACGCTATTTTGCACCAGAAGGTGCGAATAAACGCCCACGAACAAGGATGAAAATTTTTCTTCTTAGGCGGGGAAAGGGGCGGGCGTACTGGTTCCTGATTCTCCAGTGTTTGTGGACCATTTCACCAAAATCGCTGATGTCTTGACAAAGGGGAAAAAGCTTCACGCGACCGTGATAAGAAGTGAAATGTTTGCAGTGGTCTTAAATACCTTCAATGCACTGCATGAAACCCCACCTACTGTGGACTCAGGATACGTCGCGAAAATCACTACACTCACCCGTCCCACTCTGCCTTATTTCCCCTCATGGTACCGAGAATCACCTTCCAAATTTCCCCTATCTACCATCTTCCACGATTCTTTCTCTAGTACGACCGCTAAATTCCACATCCTGCCTACAACCTTCTTAACAATTATACACCAACTTTATTCCAGGGGAGAATATCATCTTTTTTTCACCCAAAGAACAAGCTTCAATAGTGGAGAGAGAGGGGAGAGATAATTGTGCACTTATAAAAGGGAAACCAAGGAAATCAACAATCAAAAAAACATTGTTCTACAAAACGGCAGCAAGCGTTCCCAGCAATCCCGCATCCGTTCTCCAATCACAAATGCGATCATGCCCTGACTGAACTCGAGCGAATCAGGTCATAGACAACAAATAGCAGCGCAAATCAAGCAAAAACAGAGCAAGAAAAGGAGGCTACTGTAACCTGCGAGGGAGGGGTGACCGAAGGCAATCGCGCCTTATGTTAAGCGCCTGAGCCCAGAGAAGGAAAAAGAATCCACCCACCTCCGGCGAGAGGAAAAAGTATACGCTGCGGATTACATCCAAATACTCTATGAACAGGACCCTCCACAAGAAATCATTAGAGAAAGATCAAAAATTACCTCGGACATACACTGGTAAAAAGCTCTTTCCACAAGAATCAACTCGATACTTCTGCGGACCGAATTACAAACATAACACAGTTCGATCTTCTTCAACTCACTACATCCTAATATCTTCAATAACGTGAATGAAACACGAAACACAATAAGCAACCGTTGGGCTGAATGGTACGAGAACAAGTTCTGAGGAATTCACTGCTAACTTCAGACAACACGCAATTACGAAAAATCTAACACATATAATAAAAATTTAATCAAGGAATGGATTCCCTCAACAACAATATCTGCCAAAGTATTCGGGAGAGTGGACGGAGAAACACGATACGGCCTTCACTGCCGCGCGAAAGCTTGGTCGTCTGCTGAGTAAGCCTTAGTGAACAGTTGAAAAAGGGGGGGGACACTATCTCGGCTCGCTCCAAAAACTCCTACCCGCCACGCGTGCCGCTGAGAAGAAAATCTATCCCCAACGAGAAGTTTTCCAGTTTTTCTTTCTCGACTCATTCTTTTTTCTTAATTAGGGGATGCAGACTATGGCCGGCACGACAAAGCTCGGAGACTGAAGAAACAACAACCCGAAACCTCCTGTATCGAAGGCCAAAAAAACGACCCATGCTTCTTCCGCGACCAAATATGGTATCCTAACGCTTGGGCATGTCCAACGTATGAGCGGTGGACTCTGACTCAGCTATGTCGAGTCGGCGCACACGAAGATCACACACAAGATGTTCTGAACAAACAGTCTGAAAAAAAGAACGTAAATCAATTGCAGTGAATGCAATGATACTAATGCAGAACATTTGAGCGTACACGAAAAGATCAGAGTGTCACCACTGAAGAGTACTATATCCGAAGTCGCAGACTATGGAACCGTGTGAAGCCTTAACAATAACGGTATGGTTTCATTTGAAACCTGTAGATTTCGCTAAGAAACAAAATATGAGCGCACTATTCAAGTATGACTCACCCATTTTCCGAAAAACAAGGCCAAATTTTCGATCCGACTTTTTTCTACCGGGAGCAGATTTGGCGAAAGCTTGGGATCTAGGGTAACGAAATCTCAACGGACGACACTCCATCCACATTCCCTACCCTAACCCCGAAACAACTTGCACGGTCAACCTTGCGCCGTAGCGAGCCGGCACCAGAGACGCTAAATCACTAGAATTTACATTTTTTCGCATACGAAAAAGTGTCTCCGATGGCAGTTTCGGTGTTGACCTTCTCGAATATGAAGCCATTTTCGCCGGCCCGGAAATGTGTAGCACTTGCCACACAGCGCGGCGCTAATATACCCTAGCCACTAACTCCGCTGAAAACTTGAATACGGCGGTTATCTGATATATTGATAACAAATTAGGATATTCATTTGGCGCTGGCGCTGATGGGGGCCTTACGATCATCTTGGCTCTGTTAAGGCTATGCCTGACTTAAGAGAAGTTTACGTCCGGAGAAAGCGCTAAAAGGCGCGGGCGTCGAAAAATAAAAAGCCATAGTCGTTGATCAGGCATCCGAGTTAATATGTTATGTCATTTTTATCGATAGGAACGGTGTGGGGGCCAAACCGGTGCTAAATGGCCCGCCGGTAGTGCTCAATATGAATGTCATATTTGTGAGAGGGTACAATAACCCCAGGTATACGATTTTGCAGCGACAGCGGTGGCGCCAAATAGGTGCCAAGCGTCGAGAAGCCGAATGTCATTTTGTTCAGGACTTTGGATCAGACGTTTACCGTTAAGAGCCCAGGAGTTTTACCGAAAAAAGTTCTCATTGAGTTTTTGGGAGTAATAGATAGTTGTATTTGAAGAGCCTGCAAAAGCCAATCTTGCGCACAAATTGTTTGGGCCAGCAACACTTACCTTCTTCAAAGCTTTGTAAATCGTCAAGCCGATCATCTTGGTATGATGCGCGGTTAACTTTATCGAAGCAATCCAGTCTGTTTTGCCAAACAACTCAGCGGCTTATTCCTGAATATGACAGATGAGTAAAGAAATGTTTACATCACTGGGAATGACGTTGGATAGCAAAAAAGAAAACAAAAAAGTCTTACGCAGTAAGAATTGCAAAGTACCTCTTTATTCCATGATTCGACATGGGATCATCTTTGAATCCGTAGAACACATATGCTTTTCAAGCTTCCACATTTGTCTCCAGTGTGGTTGAACATTAGCAAAACGGGAGCTTCAGCAAATCGCAGCTGACCACCGAAAAAAATGGTTAAAATAGGAGATTTCTCAATTTCGCTGAAAGCTATTACATACTTAATATTGAAAAACATTTTCGAACCAGCCTGTGTTGAAAACAGACTGCATGATCACTGAAACATTTCAGATGGAATAACGAAGAAAATTAGGTTAAGAAACAAGCCAAATAAACAAAATCGCTAAAAATTGAAAACCAAGGACGCGGCGATTCTGCAATCACGAAGCTAGCACGATGAAATACGCGCAAGTACACAAGTCGGACTCCTGCTTGATTGTTGCTAGGTTCAACGAATTTCCTGCAGGACTTTTCGTAACAGTACACGATTTTCTTGTTCCTTATTCATAACTGGTACAGCATTATTCTAGGTGGTAACGTATTAGGGGGGGGGGCAGCTGTAAACCAATAGGTGGGATGTGCCTAGGACTGAATGATTTTTGGGGTGGTGAACCCATTCCTTTGTGCGAGGAAATGATACTTTTAAATGCCATGTTTGCTCCACAGAACCCAGAGGTGCCCCCGTTGCTCTAATAGCGCCCTAGCAAAGTAGTCAGGTACAAATTTCGCAGCATCAACATCAAAACCATGCTTTCGACAAACTTTCCCGTGGACACATGCCCTCACGTTCGTTTCAAAACTGATCTTTCCCGCTTAATAAATGCTGGGGTTTTTAATGGGCTGTTCCGGCGAGAGAGATGTAGACGATCAGCCTGCCGCGTAGTCCCCTCCCCAATACGTTAGCTTCTTCCCAATTTAATCTAATTTGATATTTGATTTATTCAGATGCGGACAGTGGAACACTGTATAGTTTGCGGGCACGGTCCACTAGTTCTGAGTCATTTATACGATCATCTACGTAGATCACATTCTTGGAATGAAGCTCAAATTGATGGAGAAAAATTGCGAATACGAGCCAAAAAAGGAAGTCTTCGCTGTGATATCTGCGATAAGATCTACAGTACATTGCATTCACTGAGGCATCATAAACTGGTACGGAAATAGGGTGCTGTTTGGCTTGGAGGGGCATTTCACACATTCTGTAGGCCGTTCTGTTAGTTCATGTTCCGTAACAGGTCTTCCTTTGGGGAGACCTGGTAAATTTTGTGAACCTATGACATGTTAGGCAGCGTTCAGACTTCGCGAAGGCAGCGCTTCGGTCGCGCGTTCGACGCGATCGATGCAGTCGAAAGCATGCGCATCGATCGCGCCGAACGCGCGACCGAGGCGCTGCCGTCGCGAAGTCTGAACGCTGCCTTAGAAATGAGCTACTTTGGTTAGGAGGCGTTCAGACTTCGCGACGGCAGCGCTTCGGTCGCGCGTTCGACGCGATCGATGCGCATGCTTTCGACTGCATCGATCGCGTCGAACGCGCGACCGAAGCGCTGCCTTCGCGAAGTCTGAACGCTGCCTTACAGTATTCCACAGGTCTTCACAAAGTTTCCTGCATAAGCTTAGCATAAGCGTGCCATCTATTTTGAAGCCTCACCAAGCCGAACTGTGCATGGAAGTAGTTATGGTTGTATCCATTTTTCATTGAGATTTTCTTTGTGATTCAGAAACTGCATCCAAGCGGAAAGACTTCGTCGAATGTTATTTGTCCGGAATGTGGTCAAAGGTTCTATACTTACCGGGATTTGGCAAAACATTGCAATGACTGGCATACTACAAAACCAGCTACACAGGACTATTCCATTATTACTGGACAGTTTGATTGTTACACGGCATTTGAGGTAAAAACTTTGATAACTACTCGAGAAAAATCTGGCTCTACTCTTGCTCTTATTGACCCACCCTTCCAAATTCAGGACAGTTGCCAAAGAATCTTGGCACCGCTCGGCTTGGAGATAGAGGGAGGGGGAAGAGACATTTTGCAATTTCGCTAATCCCCGTCGACGTTGCTGAGGGGAGGTCATAGCAAGAGGTACCGAGGGAAGAAAATGGGGGGAGGGGTGACTCCGCTGTTTTCCATTAAGAACTAGGTAGCGAACCAGCGTTCCACTACATCCGTATTTCTGTCGGGTGTATTTTCAGAATTCGTTTATAACTGTGGGCGCTAAGCTTTGTAGAGGGGGGGGGAGGGGAAAGGAGAATTCAGCATTGCCTCCACGTATGT